TGTCCAAGACTAGTAGGGCGGGGTGTCACATATTATAAACAACATAAAATAATTGAACAAGTTGCATTATTATGCAAACACTTTTAACTAATCTAGGTTTTCATTCAAAATTGAAAATGTGTTTAAACCAAGATAAACAACATATTAGATTATCTCTACAACAACTAAAAAATTAAATTAAAATTATGAGAGTATTAATAACCAAGAAGTAGAGCTAGATAAAATAGTATGAAAGTCACCATATAACTAGAAATGTTGGGTTTCAAAATTAGTAATAACCTAACTTTGGGTATACTTACTGCTGGAAAAAATCAAACGAGATTTAAACATGACTAATACCAGTGAAAAATAAGTCAACAAAAAAATCACAAGGAAAAAAGATTTACTCACATGAAGCGACCATTTTGAAGATTATAAAAATTAATGTATATTCAAGTATAGCAAAACTATCATGATTAAATAAATAAATTTATATTAAGGTATACCAAAAAATAGACAATATCACTATTTTCAATGGTATGTTCCAACCCACTCCTGAAACCTCCTTTCAACTTCTTGTTCAGTTCTTACCTATAATTTTCTTCCACTACACTCCCTCCAACTTGCATTAAAATATTAACCTTCTATTGTAGTGCCCCGTTCGTTTATTAGAATTTTTGAATATCATATTATTATTTATTTGCTTTATATTTGATTATTACCCTTGTTTATATTATTTGTTTGATTATTAATATTGATTGCTCGTTTATGCCTTATATAATTTATTTGCTTTATTCTCAAATTATATGCGATGAATTTAATTGTTATTTCATGTGTATAGATTAGTTAGAATTATTTTAGTTGATAGTATAATTGTTCGGCGATTTTCGGCTCAACCGCGTAGAACCTATTTTAATCCGATTCGGCCCGTTTCTTTGGCATATTAATTCGAGCTTCAAGTATTTTATTTCAGCCCGAATGATTGTCATTTTCAGCAAACCTCGGCCCTCATACCTGCCCCTTTTCATTGTATGGTTTTGCCTTAAAAAATTATGAACTCTCCTTTCATTTGAAAATCAAATAATTGTCATGCACATAAGGAAAGCTTTGGCCAGATTTACTCCACACCTCCCACACGATCAAGGGCCTGATTTGATGCAAATTGATGCTATTATTTATGGCAATAAGAATCCCCATTATTGCCTTGACCTGAAGAGATGATTCTCACTGCTTTTCCTCTCCATACACACGCAATTCCTCTCCATTCTCTTTAGCATATTTATGAATCTTATCACCTACTCATTCACTCTCAAAGGCTGATGAATATTGAGAAAAGTCACAAATAATCCCATCGGTTCCCTTTGATCATCACCTCAGCCGCATAGCACCACCCGAGCGCCTCCGAGAACCACCATGTGACCACACCGCCGCTGAGGCACTCTAGTTCGAGCCTTTCATTCCCTTTGCTTGTTCTCTCGTGTGGTGAACGGTGAGGGATGGATATCCATCCGTTCTTATGTGTCTTTGATATTATATGATGAGTTCGGTTGAGACTTGATGATCTATGGAGATTTTATTATGTGTATTGATGTTTAAGTGGATGATTATGTGAAATTTGCTGAGATTCAAACGGTTTTAGTGAAAAAAACACTGAATCTCATTTAATTTTGTGGAACCCCTGTGGATTTTGAACTTGGATCTCTCCTTGGTCTAATGGTGAAGACCTTGGACGATTTGGATGTGTTTTAATCGAGTTATGAAATTTTAAAATCGAACCTGCTGCTGAATCTTGGAAAAATCATTAAAAAATAGAATACTTGACCATTTGGTGTGAAATTTGGACAGATGAACTCCATGTTGTATATATCTTTGTTGTAAAAATTTCAGATTAAAACTCGCATGTTTGCTATGTGAACTGAGTAATTGTTGTTTTGGGCTGTTTCTTCAAAAATTTATATAAAATCCTATAATTTTGAAAATATGTTGAACTTCTGGGATTAAGAATATTTCAGGGTGTTTTGTCATAGTATCAAAATATCAAATTAAAACTCGAACCCTAGCCTATTGAACCAAAAAACGTTTGTTTTGTTCTCATTTTTGCAAAAATTGTTTGAACTGGTTAGGAGTTGATTTAAGGGTTATCCTCTAGTGTGTTGATGTCTTTTTGAGTCCTTTATATGTGGTTAAAATTTGAAGTCATTTCCCCGAGCACTTGTCTTGTGACTTTTGATATTCGTTTAAGTATTGAGTTTTGAAAACCCTATTTGGAACATTCGTACTGTTTACTGTTCGTCGCTCTATTTGATCGTCGAAACTCGGCCAAATGTTTTTGAACTCTTATGATGAATTAAATTTCAACCTCTTGTATTTCATCTTGAGTAAGAATCATGTTATTATCATTTTTATTCTGAGAGTTGTGGCCAAAGTTTGGTGATGGCGCGTCAAGTTTTTCTGTATTACCGGTAATGCATGTAGTCTGTTTATCTTGCTGTTTTGGGTACTGTAACCTTGTCTTCTCTTTTTGGAGTCTTCACATGAATTGTAGTTCATTATGTTATCTTTCCTGTGGAAAAAGAATCGAGTGCTTATGATTTGTAGACTGAAAATTATGACGAAAATATGAACGTCGTGCAATCTGTTTTTCTGAAAAATTGACAGCAGGTTTAATGTGTAAATTTGATATGTTTTCAGCCCTTTAAATTTCCTGAATGAGCTCAACATCTTTCATGAAATTTTTAGTTATGTCTCTCGAGATTGTTTTGGAGGAAGAATCACTTTGATTCGAGTTTTATACCAAACATTATATTCAAAATAAAATCGTTGCGCACAAAGAGTCACCCGTTTTTCCAGCAACTTGGTTTTTATGTTTTCTCTCGCCTGTTTTTCATGCCGAGTCTATTTTTAATGCTTTTAAATGATTTTTCCGAGTCTAGATGTCAAATCCAAGTGTTCCAAATTCCATAAATTCCACGAACTACTTAGTTGATGATGTTCGACTAAGTATGAATGTTCGTGTATAATTCCAAATTCCATAAATTCCATATAGTATGTTGGTCGCTCACTCCCACTATTAACCCTCTTTTCAGGTTGAGCTGGTGGCTGTGGCAAAAGACGAGCGAGGCGGGGTCATTATTTGATGTTGAATTGCTAGTAACCTGCTTCCGCTTGTTTATTATTGATTATCTCATTGTCAGGCTTTCTTTATTATCGTTTGGAAACTGAACCAATGTTTATGAGATTTTTATCACATGCTTGGGATCGTTGATCTTGAATAATATTTGGGATTTGATTTCTTTTGGATATTATGATCAAGTGGACTATGATTTGGTTAAATATCATATTGGAATTATGAATTGAAGTATTTCATATGATTGATTATTGTTGAGGTATGTTGAATGTTGACATGAGATAAATGTTCGGGATGGTTGATTTCCCGTTTGGTTAAGTGTGGACTTAACTGTTGATATGTGAAATTTGAGTAGCGCCCGTTAAATAAACCTTTAAATTGGTTTTCGAAAAAATAATTTTTGGAAAAATAATTCGGTATTTTTCTCTTCAAAATAACGGGGCGTTACATCTATTGTTCCCAATATACCCTTATATTCATTTTAGTTTAGAGAAGTAGTCTCACCTTTATATTGATAATCCTACCTCTTTAATAAGTTAAAATTACCAACTTTGCTTATTAGCATGTTAGAGTATACTGTAAAAGCTCGGCTTTCAGTTTCTGACAATACCATTTTGAATGAGAATTGTGTTTTAGTCAAGAATGTGTGTTTGCAGTTTATGTACTTATGCGAGCATAAGTTCCTTTATTTTACACTATAGATAATATGGTTCGATGTGTCGAACAGAAAGATCATATTATCATTTAGTTGTAAAATATAAATAAATGATTCACAGTCTAGACGAAATTAAATTATCTGTTGTGAAAGGTTGTAGTGTAATTTTGATTCAGTTGATATTTGACTGATGAATTACACTAGTACACTTTGGGTGTATTGAATGGACATACGGTGGATAAGATTATTTTATACTGACCTAGTAATAATCTAGACCTCAGTAATTGATGCGTTTTCTCAACACGTAAGATAATAAACGGGCATATGTACTCATCACTTATTTATTTGCTCATCCTAATTTTCTCATTAGCAAAGTGCTAAAGGCAAATACTTCCCTAGGATGAGTTTAGTTGATGCCGAACCAAAGAATGGGGATTCTTGGCTCTGGAAATTTTGGCTTGGGGTCAGAGATGTTCTGGTTTTGGGCTTTAGATACCAGGTGGGGAATGGTAAGAGTATTAAAATTTGGGATTCTCTTTGGCTCTCTAATTCCACTTCCTTTAAACCTACCTGTCAATTTCCTTTTGATAGAGTGAACCGCACTTGGGTTAGTGAGTTGATACACCAGGGTGGCACCTCTTGGGATAAAGAACTCATTTACCAAACTTTATCTCCTGATGTTGCTGAGGAGATTCTTAAAATTCCTTTGTCTGTTCTGGGTAGAAAAGATAGGCTCCTTTGGCATTTTGGTAGAAATGGGGTGTTCACTGTCAAGTCCACTTATAATGCTATTGTTGACAGGTCTGCCATGGGTTGTGGAGAAGCTTAGTCTAGTGAGGGGCTCAATAACAGAAAGAAGGTGTGGAGTTTATTTGGCACCTCCCTATCAAAAGTAAACTGAAACATTTCATTTGGAAATGTAGGTTCCAATTTTTGAGCTCCAATGATCAACTCCAGCTTAGAAATATGGTGAGTGATGTTACTTGTTATTTATGTGGGGAAGGTCCTAAAGACCTTGATCATATCCTGTTCAACTGTGAAAGGGCCAAGTTAATTTGGAAGCTGAGTGGTGTGGAATGGCAGTCCATGGCTAATAGTAAGTTGTCTTTTAGATTGTGGTGGGTTGAAGTCAGTAAGGGTAACTGGTCTTCCAATCTCAAGGATAAGATTAGTCTCTCTAGCTACGTCCTCCGGTGGTCGTAAAAGACCAGGAACTCTTGGGTCAAGAGACAGGAAAAAATGAGTGAAAGATTAGTAAGTGAGGGAGCTAGAATTGAATGGTTAGTGTTCCATGTTGTAACTGACAAAGTGGCTCAAGTTAATGGTAATGGTTTTCAGGTTGATCAAGCCAAAGAGGTCAATTTTCCTAATAGGGTAGGACAATGGTTAGTTTCTGCCAATGCCCATTTGTCCTCTCCTGGCAAGGTCTCAGTGGAATGTTTTGCAAACAAGGATGTAAAAGCTGATATCTCACTCAAGGATCAGTTGGTTCACTGGTAGTACTGAAGGCTTAATGCTGGTAGCTGTTAGATGACCATGTTGCAGGCTTTTGATGCAGGTTGGAATTTTGTGTGCTACTACTTGAAGAATAAGGTTGTGGTAGTAAAGTTGAACAAGAAGATGATGTTTGATCCTTCCTGTAATGTGATTGGTGATGATATTTATATGTTGTGCCCTCGTTTTCTTGTGTTCTTTTCTGTTTGGCNTCATCAACTATAGCTCCTATTTTGAAATTGTCTATATTTAATTTTAAATATTTTCAGTGCCACATTTTGTAATTTATCATTTTAGTTTATGGTGTCCGATTTTCAGGCTTCCCCACAACTCTCAAATTCCGGATTCAGATTCCAACGTCTATTTGAAAATTAGTGAGATGTTATATTGGAAGATCTGCCATAGAGCAACAGGATGATACTGCTGATCATCAATATATCAGGAAAATACCAAGTGCCAAAAACAAAATCCGTACTAAGATGCAATACATTAATCATCATAATATATTACATTATATAGTAGCTCTCTTTAAATAGAAAGTGGATATGCATACATTAATAATAAGTGTAAAGGACAGACAGCAATAAATGAACCAAACCACTCAAATTTCAAAACAAAACAAGTAAGGAGAGTAAATATATGTAGGATCTCAAGAACAGATGTGAGGATACTGCTATTGATACAGATTCTGATTATGGTGTGAGAGAAAAAGAAATAATAACAATAAGAAGAAAGCGTAAGAGAGAAAATATGAGATATTATCATATAATGGCAGTTGTGTAATATGTAGAGAATCATGGGCATCTCAAAGACGATCACGAAATATCTGTGACCAAACACGCTTTTTTTTGCTTTTTCTTGAAATACCGCCCAAAACAAAAATAACATATTTTTAAAAAAATAAAAGGTTGTGAAGTTTGTTATAAATAGTAGTAATATTGTTTTATAATTCTCATTGTTATAATTAAGGATGGATCCTTTAGTTGAAGAACCTCATGTTTTGGCAGTTGATGACAACTTAATCGATCGTAAACTTGTTGAGAAATTGCTCAAGAGTTCATCTTGCAGAGGTATATATTTCTTTTTATTACTTATTTCGTTTTTACTCTCTCTCTCTCTCTCTGTGTGTGTTTTCGTCCATTGCTGATATTTGGGAAATTAAAAGAAAAAAAAAAAGGAAAGAAAGAACATAACAGTAAAACTGTTTTATATAATTATATTTATGCTCATTCAACGTTATATGTTTCTGAGTTTCTCTTAAAGAAGCATTCCCATGTCAACTGCTAATAATTAAATGAAAAAAGATTTCTAGAGAAAGCAAAAACAAAGGTCTTGATAATTGTAATAGTAGCTGACTAATCTAAAATGATTTGATCAATTTTCGTTTTTTGTTTTTTTTTTATCAATCTTATTTTGGTTGCAGTGACCACCGCAGAAAATGGGCAAAGGGCTTTGGAGTATCTGGGCTTGCTGGATGACAAGCAGAGCTCTTCAACTTACAATGTATTACTATTATTATTATTATTATTATTATTGTTGTTATTTTTATTATTATTATTATTATTATTATTATTATTGTTATTATTATTATTATTGTTATTTTCTTACTTTTTGCACTTTCTTTAGGTTATTAGGAATATAATACTGGGATTTTATGTCCATAATAATAGTGTCAACAAATAGATTTATGAGTCATTTCTTTTTACATGACATATTTCACTTTCCTTGGAATATAATTGGTTTAGAGCTTGCCACTATCTGTTTTCTACTCTTAAAAATTTGTCATTTATTTTTTATAATTATAGAGAAAAATAAAAGGAGGTGAAAATCAGAAGTTATAAATACAGTTGTTGGCTGGTTGTAAACATAAGCTATAACAAGGTTTTATTTGTTGCTTTGGAAATCTATGCGAACAGAAAACAGAGAAATTCAAAATCATTTTCCTTACAAATTCTTACTCCCCGGTTTTTGTTTTGTTTTTTGTTTTTTGTTTTTTGTTTTTTGTTTTTGTTTAACAAATTTCAAATGTTGATCCTGCAGGCAACAAAGGTGAATATGATTATTACAGATTACTGCATGCCTGGAATGACTGGATATGAACTGCTTAAGAAGATTAAGGTAAATCATAAATGTAATAATATATCTTCATACAACAATTTCGAAATTGTCTGGCCTTTTGACACTCTTTGTATTCTCTACTTTTCAAGCAGGAATCATCTGTTATGAAGGATGTGCCTGTCGTCATAATGTCGTCTGAGAATGTTCCAACACGAATCGACATGTAAAAATTTACTCTCTTTTCTAACCAGATTTTATTCCAGATAGCTTTAGTTATCGATAATTGATTGTTTTTTTATTCTTTTCGTTTGAGTCGACTAGGTGTCTCGAAGAAGGTGCCGAGATGTTCATGATAAAGCCTCTCAAGTTCTCTGATGTGAAGAAATTGAGACGGGAGTTGCTGTGCAATGCCGCTGTTAAAGCACTATAAGAACTTAGAAAAAAAAGGCTACTTTTGATCCTGATTGTTTTTTACCCTTATTTTGATTTCTTGATTCTTGTTTAATACATAGGCTGTGTAATTTTTGAGACTAATGCGCTTGCTTTCAACAGGATCTGTTTTTCTATATCTTAATTTCTGTTCTGGGTCAGACTTTGCTTTAGCCATTTGCCTGGATGAGGAGTTGCTTTTCTCACAAGTTTTTGCAATATTTATATGTACATTTCAACTTAAGGGATAATTATAAGGAACACCTCAAGTTAGTTTAAAGGAGAAAAGAGAGACAAAAAATTCAAATAATGAATGATGGATATCTTTCAGTATTACAATATTCTATGGGCATTATCTATACGTATTTGCAAATTGATGGCAAAGAATAAGAGGATGGCGATGAAAAGTTCGATCAAACAATGAACTCGAATTAGGAATACGAACTTCAAAAGTATTAATATAAATAATTAAAATAAATAAATAAAGTCGTGACACGTAAAATATCTTTTCAAAAAAAAAGAAGACAATTGTTACCAATCAATATCCACATTTTTCGACAAAAGTGTCTAAAATACAACAATTTTTAGGTTGAGTATAGTGGCACTTCAAATACACAAGATTTCGTTGTACTTAATTGTGTTTATCTATATGATGGGTTTAATGCACCAAACCCCCCTGTATTATACGAAATCTGCGCGTTTTTCCCCTGTATTTTAAAAATTGTATACCCCCTTCTATTAAGGTTTTGTATGCGCAAAACACCCAAAATTTAGACGTTTTAGGGTATTTCGCGCATACAAAACATTAATAGAAGGGGGTCTGACGTAATTTTTAAAATACAGGGGGAAAATGCGCAGATTTCGTATAATACAAGGGGGTCATGTATATTTTACCCCCCTCTATATGATGTATCGTTGATTATATCCAACAGCGAATGGATGACCCTACGACCGAAGCCAGTAAAGTTTATCAATCTCCCGAAATGAGTTCTAAGAATCTATATATATATAATTACTAGCTAATAGAATTTAATAAAACCTATTTAATTTTACCTATGTGGCAATTTAACAATTTTCCCTCCAAAAACCGTTACATTTTGATGTACTTAATCTTTCATTTAATTATTAAATAATTAATACTCATCAATTCAAAATTACAAAAATCATTTTAAACTTTTGATTAATGACAGTTGACCACATAATGTGTTGACCGTATAATGTGATTAAATGTTATTATTTTTGTTACATTTAATATTTTTTTAAAAAATAAAAAATATATTTGAAATTCCTAAATAAATAATAAATAATTCACAAATAAAAGACGTACCAAAATATACATTACATTTAATCAGATAAACGCAATTTTTTTTAAAAAAAATATTCCAACTCTTTTAATTGTAAATTTGGTCTGCAAAAAAATGAAAGAAAAATAATTAATCATTATATGTACAGACTCACAATAATTTATTTATATCTGTGCAAAATGCACAGGTCGAATACTAGTTATTGTGATAAACCTGGTAGGTAAATTTGTGTTCACCATAATAATAAAGTTAAGTGACATTAATTTCAGAATAAATGATATTTATTACTTTAATTTTAAAAATTAAATTACTGAATGGACATTCGATATCTTCAACACAAGATAAATCTAGTATATATAGTTGGAACCAATGTAATTTGAGTTTGAGAAATATAGTGCAATATTATTATATTAATCATTTTGTGAATTGTTATTATTGATGGTTTAAGGGGTAGAGTGACCCAAAAACCAATATACCTAATCGACGGTTTTAGAATTGGCTCTTATCAACTCGTCGTTCAGTTCGGGCTGATTTCGGTTCACATTAAAAAAAATTGAATCATCGGGCTGATTTCGATTTGAAATCGGAACCGGGTGTTCGACACATTTTTTCAAATTTTTAAAAATTTGAAAAAAAAAATTTATTTTGTTTTGTTCGCCGGGTCGGTCACATAATCGGAACCGGCGAGCCAGGGTCTCCAATGGCCAGATTTTGAAAACCAACCAGTGAATCTTGTATAACACGCAGCCTATTTACTACTGACTTACGAAAATCAGAATAAAAGTTTTTTTTTGTTTTCGAAAACACTTACTTTTTTTCTAAAACCCTTTACTTACTCGCGGGATGCTACCTTTCTTGCTTACTTATTTACTCACTGACTTGCTTTCTTTTCTCTTTCTTTTTTCAAGACATACAAGCAACATGCATACAACCAAACCAACATATAATCCACTCGTGGGATAAAGTTTTTGGGATCTATGAGGATCTCATTATGTAAAAGTCACGAATTCAATAGCGAACATAAACCTATGCGCAGCGGATCTAAAGGTTTGACGTAAAAAACTTACGGCTTCACGAATTCAATAACAAATATAAACCTATGCGCAGCGGATCTAAAGGTTTGACGTAGAAAACTTACGGCTTAAATTTTTTTGAATCTGACTGATTCGGGATGACCGAGAGCAGCATTCGGAGAAGCCGGGATCGATCGGGTGGCGGGATCGGCGTCGCGGGGCTGCGGTGGTCGCCGGCGGTCCGTTGCGTGTCGGGGCTGATCGCGGCGGTCGTTCGGTAAATGAGAAACCCTCCCACTACAACGAGGTACTGTCTGCACTGGTACACTCTCAATGTGTTGTGTTACAGTATTATGTGATGTATCTACTTGTGCACACGGTGGGGAACTATTGACTTCACTCCTTAACTCCTCTAAGACAAGTCGACTCGAGGGCTTGTGATTCATAATATAGTATTCTTCTAAGAATCTAGCGTACGTACTAACGATCACCTTCTGATCCTCGGGACTATAAAATAATCTACCTTTTGTTCCCTTGGAATATCCAAACGAAAACTCGTGCCTCCGAATGTTTCTTCAATTTGCCAGGTTCTTGCACTAACACGTGTGTAGGGATACCCCATACTCGAAACTATGAGAAACTAGGCTTGCGCCCTTTCCACATCTTGTAAGGAGTAGTCTCAACTGACTTCGATGGAACCATGTTCAGAATGTACGATGTTTGTAGTACCCCGTTTATTTGCGGATTATTTGGAATACATTAATATTATTTTATTATTATTATTATTATTATATTATTATTATTGTGATAATATTATTATTTATGTTTCTTGAATGCTAATATATTTTATTTATTTGTCAAATGTGATTAAATGTTAAATGTCTAATTGTATAATTTATTTTCGTGATTAATTATTTAAATAAAAAGAAAAAAAAAATGTGTATTAATATATGTGAAATATATTTATAGTTAGATTTATTTTTGTGCGTTTGAATTCGTTATCGGGCCCGAAAGCTGAATATATTAGCGTACGATTTTATCGAGCCCGAGAATGTTCGTGTGAATCATAATCGAACCCGAAAATTTTTGTTGGAACCGAAATTGAGCCGAGAATGTCCGTTTGGAACGAAATCGAGCCCGAGTATTCCTGCGTGTCCAAACTGATAAGAGAGCTTAACCAGTCCAAGATGAAATTTTTAAATTCGTATGATGGGTGTACAAGTGGTTGTCTCTTGTAATTGAAGGAGATAGTCAACTTAGATTGGATATAAAAATTTTTTTTGATCTATCTACTCCTTAGATTCCATCTCGACAACTATTTGTATTTGGCTCAAAAATGTGATTTTTTTAATCTATTGGTTCCCTTATATTTATATCATCTCCTTCATCAAATAGGTACAGTGCCTCTTCTTTCTCTAGTTTTTTTTTTTATCGCTGCTGGCCATCATTATTTTCATCTCTGTTGATCGCCATCGTCCTCCTTCATCATCCTCACCCTTCGATCATCTCCTTTCCATCATCACCTTCGTCGTCATCATCCCGCCTCATCTCCGGCGAGTGCCCCACCGCGCGCAGGCCCTCCGTCGTGACCAGCAGCAACGCCAGGCGATCTCTTCTGCAAACGACGACCCCCAGCAGCGAGCCTTCGACGTCGAAATCTCCTCGGTCCGCCACAGCAACGTCACCGGCGAGTTCATCCCCTCCGACCGCTCCTAGATCGCTGTTCGTGGACTTCCGGCGAGCTCGATTATTCTCCGAGCAGCGACGTCCGGCGACTTCCCGACGAGCCCGTGAACCAGCAGCAGCGAACTTTCTCCTTCCCGTGCACGTCGAGCCCTTCTCTTTCCGGCGAGACGCGAGAATCCGTCGAGCCCGACAACCTTACGTTCGTCCGTTTTCGTTGATTCCCGAGAACGGTACAAAGGCTCGATTTCGTCTCGTTTATATCGTTTATGTTATTCATCAATATGTGTGATTTGCGTGACGTAAATAATGTGCGTTAGATTGTTCGTTATGATTTTATGTGTTATCGTATGTTCGGGATCTCTTCGATTTTCTCGAAAATCGAACGAGACCTCGAAACTCGTGTAAGTCGGTGGATACTGGAACAATGTCGAGTCCTTGGTCTTATGAAAAGGCCTCGGACGATAATTTGTGTGTTGTGATTTAATTTTCGAGTTGTCGAGCCTTATTGTCGCTGTTTTGATGTTCGAATTTTTAAAAATAGCTCCCTGCTCGAAACGACGTGAAATTTTGTGAGATGTGTTATCTGTTCGTTTCCTGCCTTGTATAAAATTTTCATAATTTTTGGAGACCTGTAGCTATTTTTAATAATTAAATTGTGTTATGTCCAGAATATTGTTAAATGCATAGTAAATTCATACTTGACTGAAATGAGCTGAAATTCGAATATGTCATGCCTCGGTGACTTATATGTGTTGTGTTAAATTTTCAGAATTTTTGGAGTTGATTTGCTATGGGTAATATTTTATTTGTTGAATCTGCAGAAAGGATGTTTTAATTTTTAAAAATCGGATATTGCATAGAAAATTCTGAAATTTTACTGAGAGTCATATTTTAGGTGTTTGATCATGTTTGAAAAATATGAAAATTTTTAGAGTCTGTTTTGTTTCAGTTTGGATTTAAATTCAATAAACTGCTGTTTATTGTTTGAATTTTTAAAAATAGGAACAGTTATTGTTTAAGGCTGAAAATTTTATAAGTAAACTTTGGCATATTGAATGTTACTGTGTAAAATTTTCAGGTTCAAATTCATTCACTAATTCTGAGTATGGATTAATGTG